CAGACGTACCCACGGCAGTAATGGTGTTGACACAGACGTACCCACGGCAGTAATGGTGTTGACACAGACGTACCCACGGCAGTAATGGTGTTGACACAGACGTACCCACGGCAGTAATGGTGTTGACACAGACGTACCCACGGCAGTAATGGTGTTGACACAGACGTACCCACGGCAGTAATGGTGTTGACACAGACGTACCCACGGCAGTAATGGTGTTGACACAGACGTACCCACGGCAGTAATGGTGTTGACACAGACGTACCCACGGCAGTAATGGTGTTGACACAGACGTACCCACGGCAGTAATGGTGTTGACACAGACGTACCCACGGCAGTAATGGTGTTGACACAGACGTACCCACGGCAGTAATGGTGTTGACACAGACGTACCCACGGCAGTAATGGTGTTGACACAGACGTACCCACGGCAGTAATGGTGTTGACACAGACGTACCCACGGCAGTAATGGTGTTGACACAGACGTACCCACGGCAGTAATGGTGTTGATACAGACGTACCCACGGCAGTAATGGTGTTGACACAGACGTACCCACGGCAGTAATGGTGTTGACACAGACGTACCCACGGCAGTAATGGTGTTGACACAGACGTACCCACGGCAGTAATGGTGTTGACACAGACGTACCCACGGCAGTAATGGTGTTGACACAGACGTACCCACGGCAGTAATGGTGTTGACACAGACGTACCCACGGCAGTAATGGTGTTGACACAGACGTACCCACGGCAGTAATGGTGTTGACACAGACGTACCCACGGCAGTAATGGTGTTGACACAGACGTACCCACGGCAGTAATGGTGTTGACACAGACGTACCCACGGCAGTAATGGTGTTGACACAGACGTACCCACGGCAGTAATGGTGTTGACACAGACGTACCCACGGCAGTAATGGTGTTGACACAGACGTACCCACGGCAGTAATGGTGTTGACACAGACGTACCCACGGCAGTAATGGTGTTGACACAGACGTACCCACGGCAGTAATGGTGTTGACACAGACGTACCCACGGCAGTAATGGTGTTGACACAGACGTACCCACGGCAGTAATGGTGTTGACACAGACGTACCCACGGCAGTAATGGTGTTGACACAGACGTACCCACGGCAGTAATGGTGTTGACACAGACGTACCCACGGCAGTAATGGTGTTGACACAGACGTACCCACGGCAGTAATGGTGTTGACACAGACGTACCCACGGCAGTAATGGTGTTGACACAGACGTACCCACGGCAGTAATGGTGTTGACACAGACGTACCCACGGCAGTAATGGTGTTGACACAGACGTACCCACGGCAGTAATGGTGTTGACACAGACGTACCCACGGCAGTAATGGTGTTGACACAGACGTACCCACGGCAGTAATGGTGTTGACACAGACGTACCCACGGCAGTAATGGTGTTGACACAGACGTACCCACGGCAGTAATGGTGTTGACACAGACGTACCCACGGCAGTAATGGTGTTGACACAGACGTACCCACGGCAGTAATGGTGTTGACACAGACATATCCACGGCAGTAATGGTGTTGACACAGACGTACCCACGGCAGTAATGGTGTTGACACAGACGTACCCACGGCAGTAATGGTGTTGACACAGACGTACCCACGGCAGTAATGGTGTTGACACAGACGTACCCACGGCAGTAATGGTGTTGACACAGACGTACCCACGGCAGTAATGGTGTTGACACAGACGTACCCACGGCAGTAATGGTGTTGACACAGACGTACCCACGGCAGTAATGGTGTTGACACAGACGTACCCACGGCAGTAATGGTGTTGACACAGACGTACCCACGGCAGTAATGGTGTTGACACAGACGTACCCACGGCAGTAATGGTGTTGACACAGACGTACCCACGGCAGTAATGGTGTTGACACAGACGTACCCACGGCAGTAATGGTGTTGACACAGACGTACCCACGGCAGTAATGGTGTTGACACAGAGGTCATGACAGAGGTCATGACAGGTGTTTTCATTTATCCCTGAAATAATTTCATTTTCTATAATCATACATTTAAGAACACAGGAACGAAGAAATACTGCAGTAGGCCTATTGGCCCATGCTAGGCAGGTCTAGCTCACACCCACTCATTATGTCTCCAAATTATATATAAACCTACCCAAAGTTCTTGCCTCAGCGACTCTTCTCTTCTCTGTAAACTCTAGAGACTACTGTGCATAAAAATCCCAGGAGATCAGTAGTTTGAGATACTCAAACCAGCCTGTCTGGCACCAACAATTATTTCACAGTCAAAGTCACTTAGATCACATTTCCTCAGTCTGATGTTCAGTCTAACCAACAACTGAACCTCTTCACTAAGTATGCATGCTTTTAATCACTGAGGTGCTGTCCTTTGATTGGCCGATTAGATATTTGCATTAACGAAAATGGGTACAGGGGTACCTAATCAAATAGCCACTGAGCACATATTCTCAATGTTTATTCCCGTTTTTCGTTTGTACACTTCGTTCATCTTACCCCTAATTCTATGTCATTTCAAAGAATGCAAGTTAAGTTAAGTAATTAGGTACAGGTACACATAAGCACAGTTAACAATGTAAATTACCTAGGATAAACCCCCCAAAAAGGTCAAAGTGACTTTACCTGGAGTTTACCTGGAGAGAGTTTCGGGGGTCAACGCCCCCGCGGCCCGGTCTGTGACCAGGCCTCCTGGTGGATCAGCGCCTGATCAACCAGGCTGTTGCTGCTGGCTGCACGCAAACCAACGTACGAGCCACAGCCCGGCTGATCAGGAACTGACTTTAGTTGCTTGTCCAGTGCCAGCTTGAAGACTGCCAGGGGTCTGTTGGTAATCCCCCTTATGTGTGCTGGGAGGCAGTTGAACAGTCTCGGGCCCCTGACACTTATTGTATGGTCTCTTAACGTGCTAGTGACACCCCTGCTTTTCATTGGGGGGATGGTGCATCGTCTGCCAAGTCTTTTGCTTTCGTAGTGAGTGATTTTCGTGTGCAAGTTTGGTACTAGTCCCTCTAGGATTTTCCAGGTGTATATAATCATGTATCTCTCCCTCCTGCGTTCCAGGGAATACAGGTTTAGAAACCTCAAGCGCTCCCAGTAATTGAGGTGTTTTATCTCCGTTATGCGCGCCGTGAAAGTTCTCTGTACATTTTCTAGGTCGGCAATTTCACCTGCCTTGAAAGGTGCTGTTAGAGTGCAGCAATATTCCAGCCTAGATAGAACAAGTGACCTGAAGAGTGTCATCATGGGCTTGGCCTCCCTAGTTTTGAAGGTTCTCATTATCCATCCTGTCATTTTTCTAGCAGATGCGATTGATACAATGTTATGGTCCTTGAAGGTGAGATCCTCCGACATAATCACTCCTAGGTCTTTGACGTTGGTGTTTCGCTCTATTTTGTGGCCAGAATTTGTTTTGTACTCTGATGAAGATTTAATTTCCTCATGTTTACCATATCTGAGTAATTGAAATTTCTCAGATATGGTAAACATGAGGAAATTAAATCTTCATCAGAGTACAAAACAAATTCTGGCCACAAAATAGAGCGAAACACCAACGTCAAAGACCTAGGAGTGATTATGTCGGAGGATCTCACCTTCAAGGACCATAACATTGTATCAATCGCATCTGCTAGAAAAATGACAGGATGGATAATGAGAACCTTCAAAACTAGGGAGGCCAAGCCCATGATGACACTCTTCAGGTCACTTGTTTTCATTGGAATCCTATTTTCGTGGGAAAAGTTTCAACCCTTCTCTGTATATTTTCTCTCTGAGTGTTATTACTAATAAAAATCATTATTGCTAAAGTTTGTTTTAATTAAGCATTGTGTAAGTAAATGACAGCAATATACTTAAGTGTAAAGTTTAGTTGAAAGAGAAGAATCGTGATAACTTCTCCGGGAAACGTGGTAAATGTCTCAGAAAGGACTGGGAACCTCAGCTCTAGATCCTCCACCAATTATCCTATCTTTGAATTAAAAGAATGTTCGTATGGGTGTGTGAGAGAGAGTACGGTATATAAGGGCTACTCCCACGGCTGTTTTTCACTCAGTCATCACGACACAGCGATAACTGCTGCCTGTATCAGAGGTTAGTTAAGGATATATATATATATATATATATATATATATATATATATATATATATATATATATATATATATATATATACTGAGGAATGAATGTATTTTGGTGGATATACACCGAGAGTTTATTTTAATCTCTATTTTAAGGATTTAAATGTCTTAAAGTGGTGGCGTACAAGTAACTGTGTGTGCAAGACAAGCCAAAGGGGATGGAAATCTTCAGCTCAAGATCTTTCACACGTCTCCAGGCGTCATCAGGAGCTATGCAATGTTGCAAGAGAAGCAACAGGTTAAATGAGAGGAACCAGTTTCCCCTGATCATTTCTGAGAGGAACTGGCTGGCGTCACCACGCTACTTTGAGAAAACCTCCTCTCATTCTTCCTGTTGCTAGTCTTGCAACATTGCATAGCTCCTGATGACGCACAGAGACGTGTAAAAGACGTTGAGCTGAAGATTTCCATCCCCGTGGCTTGTCTTGCATTAAGATTGATGTCTGAAATTGTATTGCATTGTGAGTACTAACAAAATCGTAACAACACTTTACGACCCATTACCTGATTTACAAACGAGTAGTCGTTAAGCAATGACATATAGTAACTAGATACTCCACTGTAACGTCAGGTAACTTTATCATAGAAACGTTTCGCCCACTATGGGATTTATGAATATAATCAATGGCTTGATAATTTCCCTAAAGGGCGGAAAGTTTCTATAGTAAACGATAAATTCCATAAATCAGAAAGATATTTGTAAGTAAAAATATCTCTGTAAACATATCGTCTTTCTAAATACCTCTCGGATAATGTTATCGTTGACACACTCGTCCCGACGCTACAGAAGCGCCTCTTTTATACCTATGTTGATATTATATAATCTCTTTCTCGTAACAGGTTTTGTGTTGGAAGTGAAGATGATGATTGTACGTCTGTCTCTCCTGCTGGTGGCGGTGCTGGTGCTTCAGGCAGAGGCTACAACCCCACCTGCTCAGTTTTCAGGTGGGTTCTTGATTTATACTACTACTAATAATATAACTATCTTTATTTCTGCCAGTACATGTACAAGGTATACAGACCATAGCTGACATCAATGACATACTACTATATAGAAAGTCCCTTGTTATGCTGAGCATTTCCTGCAAATTAGGTCAGTTTTGTCCCGAGATGTGACCCACACCAGTCCACTAACACCCAGGTACCCATTTTAGTGATAGGTGAACATAGACAACCGGTGTAGGGAAACACGCCCAATGCTTCAACCCTCGCCGGGAATTCAACCCGGACGCTTGCCGTGTGAAGCGAGAGCTTTTGCCACCAGGCCACGGGCCACCGTGGGAAAAGGAATAGTGATCCCCCTTTGAAGGTTAATCATATTAGTGTTTATTTTCATTATGCTAGGTTCTCTTGTCGCTTTGGTGACTGTTTACTCTTAATGTTTACTGTGATTAAGGGTTATATTTAATATTTAGTTTTAAGATGGTGGATCTGTATGCTAGAGGGAAAGTCTGGTCAAATGACAGACCTATCATCGATACAAGTCGTCCCTGCTCACCTAGCGGTAAATACGTAGCTGGGTGTTAGTCTCCTTACATCTGCTGCCCCTGCTCACCTAGCACCTAGTAAATAGCTACCTGGGTGATGGTCAACTAAACTGGTAGGGGATCATACAGCTCCTGGGAAATGGGATGTGCCAGGCGCCCATATGCTGCAGCAGTTATTTGGTTGATGTGCACATCAGGAGATGTGCTCGGTATTATACTCACCCCAAGATCCTTTTTCTTGAGTGAGGTTTGCAGTCTTTGGCCACCTAGCCTGTATTCTGTCTGCGATCTCCTTTCACCTCCTCCAATCTTCATGACTTTGCATTTAGTGTTGTTAAACTCCAGGAGCCAGTTGTTGGACTAGGGTTGCAACCTGTCGAGATCCTTTGTAGTCTCACCTGATCCTCATCCACTTAAATTCTCCGTTTTAGCTTCACATCGTCTACAAACACACACACCTCTGAATCCATCCCTTCTGTCATGTCATTCACATATACGAGAAACAGCACCAGCCTAGGACCGACACTTGTGATACTCCGCTCGTCACAGCCACCCACTCTGACATCTCGTCTCGTACCATCACTTGTTGTTTCCTTCCTGTCAGGTATTCTCTGATATATTGCAGTGCCTTTCCTGTTGTTCCTGTCTGCTCCTCTAGCTTTTGCACTAATCTCTTGTGCGGAACTGCGTCGAAAGCCTTCTTGCAATCCAAGAAAATGCAGTCTACGCATCCCTCTCTGTCTCTCTCTCTCTCTCTCTCTCCCCTGTCTTCTGTCACCTTGTCGTAAAACTCCAGTAGGATTGTGATGTAGGATTTCTCCTCTCTGAAACTGTGCTAGTTATCGCACATAATCTCAATCCTTTATAGGTGTTCTGCCAGTCTTTTCCTGTTAAGCTTCTCCATGACTTTACATACTATGCATGTCGATGACACTGGTCTGTAGTTTAATGTCACCTGTCTGTCTCCTTTCTTAAAGATTGGATCTACATTTGCCGTCTTCCATACCTCAGGTAGTTACCCTGTATCGACAGATATGTTGAAGATGACTTAAGAAATCGTAATGACACGATTGCAAATAAACCATACCCCCGGCCGGGATTGAACCCGCGGTCATAGAGTCTCAAAACTCCAGCCCGTCGCGCTAGCCACTAGACCAGCTAGCTGGTCTAGTGGCTAGCGCGACGGGCTGGAGTTTTGAGACTCTATGACCGCGGGTTCAATCCCGGCCGGGGGTATGGTTTATGTTGAAGATTGCTGTTAGTGTCACACACAGTGCCTCTCTTCCCTCTCCCAGGACCCACGGAGAGATGTCTGGTCCCACCGCCTTTGAGGTATCTAGCTCACTTAGCAGCCTCTTCAACTCCTCTGTTGTGTATAGTGTGTCCAGCACTTGTTGCTGCACCCTTCCATCCCAGTTTGCTGGAGTCCTTTCTGTCTTCACTGAAAACACTTCCTTGCATCTCGTGTTGAGTTCTTCGCATACTACTTCGTCGTTTCTTGTGATCTCCCCTCCTTCCTCAGTTTGATTACGTGATCCTTGTCTGTTGTTTTCCTGCTGATGTGGCTATACAACAGCTTTGGATCAGATTTGGCTTTCGATGCTATATTGTTCCCATATTACCGCTGGGACTCCGTCCTCGTCAACGCGTATTCATTTCTGGCACTTTGGCTAATCTCCTTATTTTCCTGGATCATTTTTCTTCTATACTTGTTCCATTCTCCAGCACACTTACTTTTGGACTTTCTTTAGGCGAATCATCGGTGAGCTCTAAACCCTTAGGATTATACAGCGCATGTGGAGGGGAATGGAAGGTTTTCAGGCTTAATTCAGGGAACGGAGCACAGATCTAATTCCTTAGATCAAGAGCCCCTCACCAGCGTCAGGAACCTCCCTTGAGGGGTTTAGGTGATCCGAAGGCTCGTTCTGGTCTTCCTATTGTTTCTGTTGCCCTTGGGTACGAGCCTCTCCTCGGTCTCCTTGTATTTTTGATTGTTTGTGTGTGCGTGTGTACTCTGAAAGCTGAATTTAATCACACTACTTACAAAAGTGTCTTTGGCTGGTGGTGTACAGGTGATATGCAGCCTTAATGGTCCTCGCGTATTGTCTAACTTGATAAAAGTCTACTCAGAGCCAAACGTTGACCCAATAAAATCTTATTCTCCATTTTTATTGCTCTCGTGTAGTTGACAGAGTTCTGCCCTATTAAACCAACCAGTTTAATCCCTCCAGGAAGATTATGTGGAAGATACTGTGGAAGAACCCTCAGTCCAGTGTGTGGCAGTGATGGAGTCACCTATTACAACTATTGCATGTATGAGAACGCCAGATGTATCCACCCTGGACTCACCATTCTGTACATGGGATATTGTCCAGGTGGTAAGATATCAACTTTCTGTATCAAGTTATATTGAGAGAATATTTTTTTTTTACTTTGTAACAGTTCTTAAGACGACGTAGGAGAAAATGAATGTGTGTGTTAAATGACTATAATTATGAATATTGTAAGTCGGAATCAGTTGAATGGATCAATTCACAACAGTCTCGTTAAACTGATATTGAAGCGATTTTTATTCTCTCCTTATTCATTCTGTGGACGATAGCATATGGCAAGACAAATTATACTTTTTTCTATCATATTTTTTAGAATATTCACTTAAAAAGTGATCCCGAGACTCCTGTGACCACAGGTAGAGCGGCCATTGGCAAATAAAAAGCCTTTTAATGAAAAACTCATTTGGATTCAAATCCACAGTTGACTTCTGGTATATTTTCAACAAGACATCTCGACATATCACATAGATTATACTCTCTTAAAAGGTTCAAGCATTGTCTATACATTCCTTTAATATCCTTGGTTTACCTGGAGTTTACCTGGAGAGAGTTCCGGGGGTCAATGTCCCAGCGGCCCGGTCTGTGACCAGGCCTCATGGTGGATCAGGGCCTGATCAACCAGGCTGTTACTGCTGACTGCACGCAATCCAACGTACGAGCAGACTTTAGGTGCTTGTCCAGCGCCTGCTTGAAGACAGTCAGAGGTCTATTGGTAATCCCCCTTATGTATGCTGGGAGGTAGTTGAACAGTCTTGGGCCCCTGACACTTATTGTGTTGTCTCTTAACGTGCTAGTGACACCCCTGCTTTTCATTGGGGGGATGTTGCATCGTCTGCCAAGTCTTGCTTTCGTAGTGAGTGATTTTCGTTTGCAAGTTCGGTGAATGTTAAGGTTACAAGTCGTGGCTTGCCACCTTGATACTTGGGTCGCATCTACACTGGCTAACTCCCCGGTCAGGAACTACTGTTATTGACCGAGTGAGCAGCGTAAGGTAGCTGATAGTTACATTACTCACGACACTCCCAAATATAATCCTATTGGGCCCAGATTGTTTTAATTTTTAACATTACCCGTATTGACGTTCGGTTTAAAGAAAAAGGCGAACAATACACAAATAAGTAATGATTATTTGCGTATTTTATGTGTCCTCGGGTAACTTATATTTTCCTCAGGTGCTGGAATTATTGGTAAGGAGCCTTAGTCTTGTGGGCTGGGTGGAGCTTCCAGTGGAGGGGGACTCGCAGACTCTTGATCAACTAGTCACGACAGCTACAAGATAGAAGCTTTACGGTACGGTCATCGTGACAGTATTATGTCAGTCGTCCTCATGACAGCCTTACATATACGACAACACTGGCGACGACAACTGCTGAACAGGACTTATGTAATCAACATGATCTTCCACGTTTCTGCTGAGTTATCAAATAACTCATATTACTATTGGCTTCAGACATTTTTCTGAATTCATATACTTTATCACTGGTTACTCTGATATATTTAACTCTTATTTCATAATCTCTTCAGTTAATGTTAAATTTTTCTGTATTTAATAAAGATGTATAATTACGATTGTTTATATCCCCCATCTGATTCACTTTATTTGTACTATTTTCCTTCGTAGAGGAAAGATAATGATTTGCTTTAGTTATCTTCGTCAGTCTCATAAGATAATTCAGTATCGCAGACACAGTGTATGGGCGCCTACGTGAAGCAAGAGGATGTATCCCCATACCCTGGAGCACCTGGCTTGTGGTAAATGCTTTAATTTTATTTCATTTGGGTCTAGCTGTGTGCCAAAATTACCATGTACATTGATGAAAAGTGCGCAGTTCGGATGCTGTTCTGCAGTGAGATGTATATATATATACACACACACACATCAGCCGTCTCCCACCAAGGCAGGGTGGCCCGAAAAAGAAAAACTTTCATCATTCACTCCATCACTGTCTTGCCAGAAGGGTGCTTTACACTACAGTTTTTAAACTGCAACATTAACACCCCTCCTTCAGAGTGCAGACACTGTACTTCCCATCTCCAGGACTCAAGTCCGGCCTGCCGGTTTCCCTGAATCCCTTCATAAATGTTACTTTGTTTGAACCTTGAGGTGGACAACCTCAACACTGCCATTATTAGCAGTTTGAGGTATTAAACACTTAAATTTCATGACCTGGTGTTTTATTGTGAGGTGAGACACTGGGCAGTCGTGTACAACACTATCTTCACTGCAAACACTTCCGCGTGCACAACAGTAACACTGGCTGTTATGATCACGTCTTGGACAAGTGTTGTGTCTTGTTTGTCAGGAGGAATCTGAGGCAATTAAGCAAGTTTACCCTCAAACACCGTAACATTACAACCTAGCCAAACCTACTCCTAATATCCCTTAAATATAGGCGTCTAACTGGGAAAAAATCTTAGTCAACTTGCACTACTCTCCTCTCTTCTTTATTATTATTATAACTACTCTCCTCTACATCAACCTTCCATCGACCCGAGTTTACCGCCCCCCTCCCCATTCAAATTATTTTTACGAACGTGCACATTTACCCAAATAAAATTTCCCATGACTAGATATATTATCCATAGGGGTTATGCACAGTTTGGGGAATGTTAGGCAATCAGGTTTGATCCAAGGAAGGGGAGGGCACTTGCAACTTCTTCTATCACGATACCTTCACTAGTACAAAGATACCCCTTGAAAGGCATCCAAATTTAACATGGTGGTGGTTAAGATCATTAAAACAATATTGTATTCCCCTACACTTGCACGTCCCTCGTACTACACTAGGCTAGCAACCAACACTACGGGTTATATAACCAGTTGGAGGCCTGCCGTATACCAGTTTCCTAACACACTACTATTCTAGCCTGAATTCATAACCTACGTTACCTGCCAGTTATGGTTGGCATCCTAGGCACAACCTGAGGACCACTACATTCAAGCCCCTACACTCTCTACCTCTTATTTTTCTGGGTTTCTAACCCAGCAGGGTTAATAATCCTGTTCTAAATCACCCCCCTAACTAGTCTCATCAGCATCAGATGTTAGTGAATCATTTCTGCCGACTAATACTTCACTTAAGATTATAAATAAATAAATATCACAGAGGCTTTCATTTTCATCATTAATGTACTACCGCCAGGATTATTATTATGATCACAGGGAAACGCTAAACCCGTAGGATTATACAGCGCATGTGGGGGGGATGGAAGGTATTCAGGCTCAATTCAGGGAACCGGAGCACAGATCCAATTCCCTAGATCAAGAGCCCCTCACCAGCGAACACAGCCAGGCACAACACTCCTCAGTTACCACATCTGAAACAAAACATACACATCATAACCATGAACATTACACACATTTATAGGTAAACATTACCATGACTGACTGATATAAACATTAATGTTTAACATAGTAAGTAAATCTATCTCTTTCTTTAATATTTCTTTCACATAAACCTGATGACTAACAATTTGTTTACGTGGAAGTCTATATCCGGATCACAAGGCCCAAGTTCCTTGGATCAAGAGACCTTCACTAAGTTATTTTTCAATGGAAAAAATAGCCCAGAACTGGATACACCATTATGGGTTATGTAACGTGAGAGTTATTGTTTGATCAGAGGAAGGGGAGTAGCTCCAGTTCCTCGCATCAAAACTCCTCCACTAAAGTCAATCGCCCCCCTCCCCCCTCTAAGACATTAGACCCCAATGAATATTAAATTAAGACTATTAAAAATTAATAAATTGGTGACCAAACTGGTGATGGGGACCAGGAGCTGCAGCTCAGCTCAGTTGTTGTACTGACAAACACGTCACCAGACAATACTTACGTTATTTAGGTGTATTAAAAGGATGAGGAAGCGGTAAAGCCGGCGGGGCGGCAAGAGAAGCAATACGTCTCTTCTGTACGACCACTGAAGTTCAACTGACCTTTATTGACCTTGAGGTTGGTCACTATCCTGAACTTCACTATAACACCATCACTGATAACCTGACTAACTCTGACTACCACCAATGATGGCACTACTACACCCTCACTATCAGTACTAATCGTGGTGGAGCGCTCAACCCGTGGGGTCATGGACCACCTGGGAGTATAAGTTCACTCCCAGGTGCCATTGATCACATTCCTTGGATCAAGAGACCCTCGCCACCACCTTCAAGGATCCTCTCTCAAATCCACCACTCTCACCACCAGAGGCGCTCAACTTCACTAGTACTGTACCACTAGTACTCTACATGAGGGGAGATTATTGTACCACTAGTACTCTACATGAGGGGAGATTATTGTACCACTAGTACTCTACATGAGGGGAGATTATTGTACCACTAGTACGCTACATGAGGGGAAATTATTGTACCACTAGTACTCTACATGAGGGGAGATTATTGTACCATTAGTACTCTGTTTGAAGGGCAGATTATTGTACCAAAGTTGTGTTCTCTCCCTCTAGTATTATGATTCCTTTAGTTCTCAGCCTTGACAAAATTGGCAGCAAGATATTCTGGACACTGCGAGAATTTTTTTAAACATGATTTAACTTCAGTTTTACTGTCATCAACATTCAGCATATCCAATTGTTGCAATTCATCCTGGCCTACATGCTCTCTTGGACCCAGGTCCAGGACCCAGTTCCAGGACCCAGTTCCAGGACCCAGGTCTAGGACCCAGGTCCAGGACCCAGGTCCAGGACCCAGTTCCAGGACCCAGGTCTAGGACCCAGTTCCAGGACCCAGTTCCAGGATCCAGGTCCAGGACCCAGTTCCAGGACCCAGGTCTAGGACCCAGTTCCAGGACCCAGTTCCAGGATCCAGGTCCAGGACCCAGTTCCAGGATCCAGTTCCAGGATCCAGGTCCAGGACCCAGTTCCAGGACCCAGTTCCAGGATCCAGGTTCAGGATCCAGGTCCAGGACCCAGTTCCAGGATCCAGGTCCAGGACCCAGTTCCAGGATCCAGTTCCAGGATCCAGGTCCAGGACCCAGTTCCAGGACCCAGTTCCAGGATCCAGGTTCAGGATCCAGGTCCAGGACCCAGTTCCAGGACCCAGGTCCAGGACCCAGTTCCAGGACCCAGTTCCAGGACCCAGTTCCAGGACCCAGTTCCAGGATCCAGGTCCAGGATGAATCTTACCATTTTGTTCTGGCTGATTTGCAGTCTATCTTTCAGTTTTTTGTCAGGGCAGAGTACCATGAAGAGGAAGCGTAGCCCACATAACATTGTGGCCCGGTGGTCTGGTGGCTAAAGCTCCCGCTTCACACACGGAGGGCCCGGGTTCGATTCCCGACGGGTGGAAACATTTCGACGCGTTTCCTTACACCTGTTGTCCTGTTCACCTAGCAGCAAATAGGTACCTGGGTGTAAGTCGACTGGTGTGGATCGCATCCTGGGGGACAAGATTAAGGACCCCAATGGAAATAAGTTAGACAGTCCTCGATGACGCACTGACTTTCTTGGGTTATCCTGGGTGGCTAACCCTCTGGGGTTAAAAATCCGAACGAAATCTTATCTTATCTTATCTTAAAAGCCAAAATAGGGTCTTGCGAGCCATGGCCTGATTTAGACCTCGGGGGGCCCGGGGCACTTTAGGCTTGGGGGGGGTCCTCAACATGAAAATTGAATATTTTTCGAAAACAGCAATTTTCGAAAAATAAATATGTTAGGCTTCGAAAAAGATGTCTGATTTTATTTTTCTCAATTTATTTACTTGAAGAATATATGACTATAATTTTCAGTTTGTAATATATTCTATATACACTATATAATAATTATTTCTTTGGTGTCACACTTTCAGTATCCATCTATATGGTGGCAATTGACCAAAAGGACACACGCTGTTCAGCCAGTTCAGCCATCACAACTTTGGGAGCCCAGTCCCAGGACCCATTACGTACCTCTATAATCTGTTAATACCTTTGTAACTTGTCATGATTGTGACTAGACCTACCTGGAGTTCATTACCTTTGTAAATTGTAAGTTCATTACCTTTGTAAATTGTGAATTCATTACCTCTGTAACTTGCTCAGCTATCAAAACTTTGGAGTCCAGTCCCTGGACCAATTATGTACCTCTGTAACCTTTTGACTACCGCCCACAGGATGGGTATGGGGTGCATAATAAACATATTAAAGTAAGTAAGTAAGTAGGACACACGCTTTTTCTGACAGGAAACCACATGGGTGGGTATGAATCACATGATGGTGCTTCTCTGCCCATGTCTACAGAAGTACCTGTTGAATGTGATTATGGCGATTCATCGCTATTACCTACTTGATTTGGTATGTTCTTTTTATATTCTGGTAGTGGTACTGGTGTTTTATTAATAGCTTCTATATTTTCCACTACAGAAGCAGAGTAAAATTCTGTAAGGCTTTTTGTCTTGCCAAGACCACAGCATTTCTTTCGCCTGATTCTCTGGGAACCTTTCTTTTCAGAGCTCCTGACAGCTTCCATGGTATACTGTGTGTGTGTGTGTGTGTGTGTGTGTGTGTGTGTGTGTGTGTGTGTGTGTGTGTGTGTGTGTGTGTGTGTATGTGTGTGTGTGTTTGTGGATGTGTATGAGCG